GCTGGTCGATAACATGTTGCATCACATATAAATTGCAGTGGCGTTTCTATATGTACAAAAGTGGTGCGGCACAAAAAACTTAGATGTCTATAGCATATGCTGTCACGTGCAGTGAGGTTCATGGCTGGTGAGGCACTGGCACTGACTCTTCAGGTTTACAAATATTATATTTTGACCTAAATCCAAATATAATATTATTTTCATAAGCTTTTTTTGTCTGATGCTTCGATTAATTTTAAACAGACAGTTCAACAGAAGGATACCCAAAAAATGTAATTTTATCATTTAAATATTGGATTGTTCTCTCTTAGTAAGATCCCATTTTCAATAAAATTGCGGTCTTACTTGACTTGGAGATGAAGTCCACGCTATCCTTTTGGACAAAAATCTCTATTACTTTTTTGTAAAAGTCCTCCTTATCTTCTTGTAGTTTCAAAAGTCTATCATAAATCTAATCGATAGAGTTATGATTAGAAAATTATAAAAGCAGGGTAGACATGTGGATATTATCCGGCTGAACAAAACGTGCATTTATTTAACACGTTTCCCACAGATCTTATTTTGAGCTATTTTCTAAAATCCCATGGAGAAATCTCATTGCTTTTTTGTGGAGGGAACCCATGCGCAGCTTACTTCCTGGTTTTAGAACGCGTCTCTCGTCTCCTCTTCACACACCACACTTTTCGCGGCACACGTACTTACAGCCAATCAGCTCTGAATGATGTGAGATGACGTATGGTGGGGATGGCAGCTCAGTGCCCCTATGGTCATTATTTTTTGCCACACACATTAAATAGGACAATACTCTGAGCATGCGCAGTGTAGTTTTTACAGTCACCGTTCACTTAGACAGTGAGAAGGAGGGGCATGATCGGGTGTTGTCCCACATGGCTCTAAACGGCTCAATAGGCACACACTGTAGACACTAATTAGAAGAACACAGACTAAAACAGCAATGTACAGACAAATCAGATGATTAAACATGATCTTAAAATATATTTTATATATTTTTTTATTTAGTTTTTGCATTTTGTTGTGATCATTAATACTTTCTGCTGACACTAGGTGGGGCTGTGCCCAGTCACCACTGGACTCAGCTGGGAGATATTTTCCTTCTGATTAGGTGCCGGTGAGTGCTAATGACAGTGGAGGAAACAAACTAGAGTAAACCCAATCATTTCATGAGAATGATTGGACCAAAAGCACTTAGCCCGGCAGGTACAGTAAAAGAAGAGGTGAGAAATGTTTAACAGCAGGAGAAGAGATCACTTCTCATTTTGTTCCTGCTTTGATGCAGTAATTGCCTTATAAATGAGTTATGCAAAAGGTACTCACTCTCTCTCTAGCCAATGTGTGTCAGTATGTTTGTGCACTCATCCACACTGACTGCATCAAGGTCTCAGGTGCTGTTTGAACCACTGACCTTCTCGTTTGAATTTCTGGTTTCCTGCTTAGGCAAGCACAAGCCATGAATCCCACTTTAGCTATATCTCAACATGTTTAAGGGAGGCACAAGCAAACTATGTTTAATTTCGATGTCAAAAACAAATAACCAAGCAGCCCTATGTGCTGACACAACTGAACCAAAGAGGTGTAACTCACTTGATTAACTTGAGGCACATAATGTTAAGCTGACTTTTATAAAGCCAATACCTCCTTCAACTCCAAATCCCATGACCCCAATGAGGGCTGCAGGGGCAATGAGTCCAAACATTTCCGTAGGGTTTGTGTTCCCTCTGCAGTCATTCTGGGAATTAAGTGGCTTGGTTTATTGTATGGCTCCATGATCTCCCTCAATCAACTCTTCTTTCTCCCTCTCTCTCCCCCCTCTCTCTCTAAAGTAACAACCTCTGCCTTGTGTCTGATAGTAAAGGTCTCTCTATAGACACACACACACATACACACACACATACATAAACACAGAAATCTCAGCGGCTATAAAAAGTAAACAGGATTAGCTGGCTATTCCTTGCTCCACTGTAAACGGCCTGTAATGGCAGCACTGCTTCTAAATCCCTCCATCTCTTCCCCCCCCCCCTTCCTCCCTCCCTTTTCTATTAAACATGGAGGTTAATCCTCAACCCCCTCCTGTCTCCAGCGCTGTGGCCCAGGATAAGCTGTCAGAGCTGGGCTGCTGATACTCAGCTCTCCTCTAACAGCCACACAGCCTGGACACAGCACATCCGAGTGTGTGTTTGAGTGTCTGCGTGACATTTTTTGTGCGTGCATGCACGCTTGGGTGTGCGAGGGTGAATGAACGTACTAACATCTATACCTAGATGTCTGTGCGTGCATGTCTGGATGAGGCTGGTTTTTCACGTTTTGCCAAATTCAATCAGTCTCTCCCTCCTCTTTTATAGAATCCAATCTCAGCTGGAATAAAAAGCTAACTCTCGAGGACCCTAAAGCAACAAAGTGCACTCAGTGCTGGCCACAACAACTCCTGCCTGAGAGCCACAGGCACAAGCACACTGACCCATACCTTCCGGTCCTCAGCACTTGGTCTAATGGTGGAACTGGGGGGCTGCATGGTGAATCACTAATGGCATACTCTTCACAGATATCACAAATGTCAAAAAAAGTCAATGTGCTTTCCCTCCCAGCCCTCTTTCAGTAAACACGCCTCGACCTGCTTGATGTGGAAACAGCACAAGTCAATACTGTTCATTTTAAAGAGGAGTTACAGGAACAACAAATAGCGGCTAGAACCACCCACTCAGCTTATAGGTCGCAACCTTTGTTTTATTCCATTTAATGGGAATTAAGGTTCCCCAAGCTGTGAAATAGGTTGCAGACCCCTGTGAAGTAATTCAGGCTTTGAGGGACAGAATAATGAATAACCACATTTACCCACCTGAAGGCCATCACCTTGTTTTGACCCTCTTTACACTTAATAAAAAGGGAGGGGAAATAATTTGTACAACATAGTGTACAGATCGCTAGACTTACATGCCAACTGAATATTAGAGGTTTATATCATCAAGCTAAAAAGTATATTCAACACTTTTCAGCAACATACTTAATAATAATAATGAAGTTAGTTTTATAGTGCTTCAAAAAGGAACTCAAAAACAACAAGCAAATCCACATTTGGATGGCTTAAATGACTTAATCCACCCAAATGAACATTCAAGCAGCTGTCACTTGGATCCACCCATAAAGTGTAACCTCTCACTTTTTGGCTCTTTTTTTGTTGTTGCAATATATATCAACTTATTTGACACGGCTGAAGTGCTTTCTGATTATTGAGTAACAGCAAGTATACACTATTTATTTCGACAAATGTCTATTTCTATTTCTGGGGTTTTAAATTACCTAAATTAAAAAGTGTCAGGACCTTTGATACAGCTGTATATGCCAATGTAAATATAAACGTTCCAAATAACAATGAATCTTACAGTGCATTTCTAGTGCAAAGTATCCATCATTTCTGTCATGTGTTCACAAATCAAAAGCTAAAGGTTATGAAATCAGGAGCTTAAATTACATTCAAGTTTATTTAAGATAATGGCACAGATAAATTGGCAACTATTACACCATCTTTTGTCGGCAACTGCAATAATTAAGTTTTAGATTTGCTTCAGTGAAGACAGACTTCTTCACCATAGCAACGGCAGCTAACATTCATGGGTATCGTAGTATTACAGCTATCTAACCAGCAGATCTAATCAAACTAAATCAGAAATAATTAAAAACCTATCTATTCATAAACCTATAGGGACATTGTATTAACCATGTGACTATGTGTCTATGTTCAGAATCTCCAGTCCACCACATGACCATTTTCATATTTAATGCAGAGCGTATAAGGACATTTTTCACAGTAATGTAACAGCGAAAGGGGAAGACGCATAGCATCTGAGTGCTATATGGAGGCAATGTTTTACACTTAAAGGTTACACAGGGATAGATATCCACATAAGCCAACAGCTCTTTATTTTAGCTACACTGGTTGTTAATGCATTATTACTTAAGTGCATTTTTCCCTACTCTCTCTCTTCGGTTTCCCTGACAGCTGACTGCCTTCTCTGTTTGGTTGAACATTTCCTTCCCAAAATCCTCCATTCCTCCCCATCACTTTCAATTGCTGTGACACCTGAAGTTACCCTGCAGTGCTTACTTGGTATCTGCTTAGCTGGCTCAAATGTTTCACCCTTAAAAAAGAGAGAAATTCTCCTCCAAAAAACTACTCGCAGATTCAAGTGTGTAACAACAGTTTTACCAAACACTATCTAATGGCGCAACTCCACTACAGCACGGAGCGCGGTTTAAGCGTGCTGTGCCCGGCCCGTTTGTGGTTGCATTTCCATTAGGGGTAGTTCCGGCTAGCGGGTACTTTTTCACAGTTTTTCTGGCTCTCCAAAATCGAGGTTCTTTCCGGGCCAACAACCGGGCTGAGTATGCTAAACTAGTGAGAGAATCGCTGGCAACTACAACAAAATGAACATATTTGACCGTGATTTAATTCTAATACACGTTTCAAAATGATGCCGAAGTAACAACATACTGATACCGGTTAGTAAAAACCATGAATTAATGCTTTGACAAGTCTGCAGACAAGACGGCAGACGAAAAACCTTTTAAAATGCGTGTTTTCTGAATGGAGATCGGCTAAGCTAACGTTGTATATGCTCCGATCCTCCACGCTCACAACAACGACCTACAGACATAAATAAACCAGCGACTGTATTCACCATGACACAGACAGTCTGAGCTTGAGGGCTAACAGCTAACGGCTGATGTTGGTTTTCTGTGGTTCGCATTGAAGATGACGTCACGGCTCCGCCTAAACTGCGTTACTATAGTTACTACCCCAGCTACTAAACTGTAATGTAAACGCAGCATAAAGTGAGCCAGTCCTAACAAGGCCTAACTATACTGTACTAAGTCGTGCGAGGCCATAACACTCTCATCATTTAAGGCAATCACTATTCTCATTGGTATTAGTATCATGCACACATGGAGAGAAATAAACAGCCAAAGCTCAAGCGAACATTTTGTGAGCGCAGCAGTCAAGGAGCTGCGGCATGAGTAGGAATAACAACTGAAAGTGTTAACAAGGTGAAGAGAAGGTTAATGAAAGGAGGAAGAGAAAACTGAATATAGCAATGGAAAATATATCAGAGGGAAAAAAAGCGATCAAGAAAGTGGTTATTAATATTAAATTGGTTTATGTGTGTATACAACAGAAATAAACAGGTGACTATGTGGGATGTTTTACAATGATTTAATGTGAGTCTTTTTTTATGAGGAGGGAGGCTGTGAGAGGAAGGTGAGCTATCAGGTCTTTGGATGTCCATTAGCACAAAATAAATACAGGAGAATGGGTCAATGTATCAGAACAGGCATTACCCTGAACTACTAAAAAGCCTTCTTTAATCATGTCAAACACACATTGCAAGCCACGTGAACTATTTATAGAAGCACAGGTTCATGCGCTACCGGCACAATCACACAGACATAACAATATGTATTTCTTTTTCTGTTGACGCCTTGTCTCTCTCCCATCACATGGAAGTAGCTCGCTGAACAACCTGACCTTCTCCAAGTTTAAGCGAGTAAAAGAAAAGTTTCACATTGTGGAGAGTGACTGACGATAAACATGTTCTAAGAAAAGCAAGACAGACTGATCAAAACAGCTTCTTATAGCGTGACAATCTTAAACATTGATGGATCTGTTTACTCTGCACGCCATTTATTTTTGTCAGATAAGGAAAACATGCTTGTTGTAAAGTAAGACAGCCATATCAAAGACAACCAAGGACAGCCTTAAAAACCTGTTATTTTTTACCGTAGAATCCAACAGATGGGGATGCTATCCAAATCCTACTACTTCAAGTCAACCGCTTACTGACCTGGCCCCTGGTAGTAGCATTGTTTTCCCCCCCCCCGAGTGCCACAGATTAACAGGCTCTGCATAGGTGACTCACCGGGTCTTTAGCTTGCTGCGCTAACACGGCGTAGGTGGATATCCTGCTGCAGAGGCATTTGGTGTGGACAGTGGTTGACGCGAGCGTTTGGCAGCCTTCTGTGCCCCAGTTTTCTGCGCCAGCTTCCCTGGAGGTTGGGAGAA